AATTTCTTACTACAAAAAAGTGTTGAGTGAAATAGACTACCCTGAATAGTGTTAAGTCATAGAATCAGTAAATGAAAACAGTTTTATTAGAAGTTTGTGCATGTGCCTGTTTACTCTCTCTAAGGTTTCCTCCCCCAAACTGCAGAGTGTATTCATTTAAAACAGGCTATAATAAAAAAGCATAATATGCTAATTAGACCAGACAGCCGAACGTCCTTCAGACGTGGAAGCTGGCAGTGGCAGCAGCAGCAGCAAGGTGATGGGGGCGGCACCTTCCCCTGATCAGCCTAGTTGCCTCCCCTGAGGGCTCCTGGACTGTGAGGGGGCAGGCTGGGCTGAGGGGATCCCCCCCCCCACGACCCACCAGTGCACAAATTTCCATGCACTGGGCCCTAGTAACATTAGAAAGTGTATCTAGAGAAGAGGGCCTTTGCCAGTTGACTTGTTCCTGTGATGCACATTGATGTTCTGAGTGTCCGGCTGCAGAGGGCAGTGACTGGCACACAGCACCACCAAACGGTGATGTCGTTTTAAAACTGGAAGCGTTCGGTATTGAGTTTGTCGCAAAATCGCATGATTTGCTTTTTGTTTAAATTGTAATTCCAGTGAAGAAAGTCTCCTACTCCTGCCTTTTTATTTTGTGTTCTCCCAACATTTAGTTACTTGGAAGCGTTGTTAAAGTAGCCACTCATCCCTGCGGGTGAATTTAGCCAGAAATAGTCACCCAGTAGAAGTAATGTGGGTTTCCTAAAGCATTCAGATCTTATTGGCACGTCTGATCATTGCAGGCCGGCTCATTGAGTATGTGACTGCCCTTGAACGTTTAGGCTTTGTAACGCAGTGTTTCTCTTCATTCTGACAGAGAGAGGGCAGCTTCGTTTTATGGCGACTTAACGTCTGTTTCAAACCGAGGCCATCTTTTCAGATGAAGTATATATTAACTTCTTGACTGTGGGCTTTGGGTTTTTTGGTGTACAGTATCAAAATTAGCATTATTAATTAAAGCTCTCTGCCCTGACATTGTGGCATCATTTGTGCCAAGTGTTAAAATCGGTCTATTTTAGATTTGCAAAGAACCTGGAGCCAAAATTCCCGTAAAGACACATGGATGTCTATGTCAGCAGGGGAGAAAAATAGCGCATCTATTTTTAAGGCAGTGGAATTCTGAAGTCAGACCACTTGGTTGAACGCTTGCCATAGTGACTGAAATTCCACACACTCACAGAGCCTCTGCTGCCCCCTGCTGCCGGGGTGTGGACACTTGAACAAAAGGCAAGAGTTCTTGAAGATTTATTGTTTTCTTGTGTGTGTGAGTCTATTAGACTTGAAATTATGAGTAAGTTAAAAAGTAAAATAAATATTCTGAAGTTAAAATCAAAATGGGTAGAAAATGATGTAATTTTAAGTTACAAATGTTTTAGGCTTTAAAGATTGAAAAATTAGCCAGGTTCTTTCTGACACTTTTTTTAACCATAAAGTAACTGGGGGGAGGGGGGGGGGGGCCGGGGAGAGAAGCGGAGGGGCTTAGTTTTTGAGCCCCAGGCAGTGTGCCCCGCTTCTGCGCCACTAAGACTGGGGGGCCTCCACTGCCTTTTATTTAGGCGGCACTGGAGTGGCGCGCGGGCGGAGACCGTCTCAGAGTCCACTTCCCTGGCCCGGACCCGGGAGGGGAGCACGGTGCACAGGGCGGGGCTGACCTAAGGAAGGAAAACAGAGTTTCCCGTGTCGCTGCGTGTTCTTCTGTAGATTTCCAGGGCATGTTTTCTGTTTGCTGGGTACTGAGATGGCCTCTGGGGAAACGGTCACAGATAAAGGGCTAACTGGTCTGGTGGAAGTGAGCCTTAGTCTTTAGCAAGTGAACGCCAGCCCTGCGGCCTCCTTCCCTAAGGGAAGCTTGTACTGGGAGGTGTCCTTACCTGTGAGCAGCATCGCATTTGGGTGTTGAATTCCCGTGTATATTATACAGTTCTTTCTTGGGAGTTGCTTCAGGGTTTAACCTCCAGAACCTGATCAAAGTCAAATACAGACTTTTTGGTAGGGTAATATTTAGATGTTTTGATCAACTACGGATTCCACTTGAATTCTGAGGGACAGGGTAGTTTTTAAAAATATACCCTGATGGTCAACTTAGGGATAAAAGGGCATCTATGATAGAGTTCCATATTATCGTTTAAAAAATAAGTTCTGTTTTAATACCTTTGCTTTAATTTTCTTTGACCTTTAATTTGGTGTGCATGAGAATGAGAGGAAATTGAGATAACTGAACATGATGAAAAGGTCACCTAAAATAAGGAGAACACAAACACTTACTAGAACTGTACAGAGTGTAGGCAGTTAATTGAAAATGCAAGCTGATGCCATGTAATTGGTTATCTTCTATGGGCATCAGCCCATGAAAGTGCATCTGGGACTCGATGTTCAAACCAGGGGCCCAGCTTCGCCAGACGGAGACGCTGTGTGGTGACCTTGTACTTAGGCACATGCGCACGAGGGCTCGGGGCGCTGGGAGCCAGGTGTGGCTGCTGCCACCTGCCAGCTGGCGCATTGCCGGGGCACCTGCCTCTCGGGGATGGGAAGGGGAGTGTCTCACAGCACAGCTGAGACGGAGGTTTTAGGAAGCAGCTATTTTTTTAATCAAGAGCAGTGGTTCAAACCTTTATCCGCATATCATTATATCATTAAAACACTGAGGACCTCAAGACCTTTGTTTGTATAGTTATATCTATCAACATTGGCTGTACTAGGCATTAAACCAAACATTTTAAATATTTTAAATAACCAAACTCACGCATGGTTTTATAACATCCATGCATCTTTATTTGGGAAATACTGGTTTGCTAAATTATGTAAGTCTTCCAGTCCTTGATCCTTTTTTTTTTTTTTTTTTTAAGGAAGAGTTCATTTTTAATTCTTTTAATATATATGTTTTATTGTTGATAGTATTATAGATGTCTCCCACCCCACCCCCCTTTTCCCCCTCCTCCCAGGCCTTACCCTCCCCCGCCCCCCCAGTTCTTCCCCACCCTATGGCCTGGCACATGGCTTTGCATATTAGTATACAAGTTCTTTGGTTTATCTCTTCTTGTCCCCCCAGCCCCACATCAAGGTATGTTCGTCTGTTTCATGCCTCCCTGCTTCGGGTCTTATTTTGATACTATCTTTATATATCTTTTTTTAAACCCTATTTGTTAATATCCCCAGACTTTAGCAGAAAGTCTATAATAATTGGGAAGCTAAAAAACTCACAGAGGTAGGTAGTAAGTTTTTCGAAAGTCTTACTTTGATCTAAAAGCTTGAATTCCATCACTGGCAATAAACACTGCCAGTCGGTTTTCTTGAAGTCACGTGTTCACTTCTTTAATGTTCAAGAAAATTTCTGCCAAATAACCAAGTCTGATACCCACACTTGCCATCTTTTCCAGTAAAAATGGTGTTCAGTTGTAAGAGTAAATAATTATTATCCACTTCTCACAACCCACGTGGGCGGTTAGGGTTAGGGCTAGTCAGTGGCAGTGGGGGGTGAGGGTTAGGGTTTGTCAGTGGCAGTGGGGGGTTAGGGTTAGGGTTCGTCAGTGGCAGTGGGTTAGGGTTAGGGCTAGTCAGTGGCAGTGGGCGGTTAGGGTTAGGGTTTGTCAGTGGCAGTGGGCGGTTAGGGTTAGGGCTAGTCAGTGGCAGTGGGGGGTTAGGGTTAGGGTTCGTCAGTGGCAGTGGGTTAGGGTTAGGGTTCGTCAGTGGCAGTGGGCGGTTAGGGTTAGGGTTCGTCAGTGGCAGTGGGCGGTTAGGGTTAGGGTTCGTCAGTGGCAGTGGGCGGTTAGGGTTAGGGCTCAGCAGTGGCAGTGGGCGGTTAGGGTTAGGGTTCGTCAGTGGCAGTGGGCGGTTAGGGTTAGGGCTAGTCAGTGGCAGTGGGGGGTTAGGGTTAGGGTTTGTCAGTGGCAGTGGGGGGTTAGGGTTAGGGTTCGTCAGTGGCAGTGGGTTAGGGTTAGGGTTCGTCAGTGGCAGTGGGCGGTTAGGGTTAGGGTTCGTCAGTGGCAGTGGGCGGTTAGGGTTAGGGTTCGTCAGTGGCAGTGGGCGGTTAGGGTTAGGGTTTGTCAGTGGCAGTGGGCGGTTAGGGTTAGGGTTCGTCAGTGGCAGTGGGTGGTTAGGGTTAGGGTTCGTCAGTGGCAGTGGGGGGTTAGGGTTAGGGCTCAGCAGTGGCAGTGGGCGGTTAGGGTTAGGGCTCAGCAGTGGCAGTGGGGGGTTAGGGTTAGGGCTCAGCAGTGGCAGTGGGCGGTTAGGGTTAGGGTTCGGCAGTGGCAGTGGGAGCGTGTAATGTGGTGCACGCTGTGACCCAGTGGTGCTCTTACTTCTGTGAGGAAGGGAATCAAGCCTGTGGTCTCGTTACTGAGGAACCGCCATTGTCAGGGCTGAGGGGCTGGCTCGGTCACCACCCGGTCAGCCGTGACTCTAGGCTCCAACCGAGCCCTCTGTCCTCAAACGAGGGTCCCGTACCTCCTCAGCGGTGGGACTCGTACACCCGGGACACAGGCACCTGGGACTTACACACCCCAGACACAGGCACCCAGGACACAGGCACCCAGGACACAGCACCTGGGACACAGGCACCTGGGACTCATACACCCAGGACACAGGCACCCAGGACACAGGCACTCAGGACACAGGCACCCGGGACACAGGCACCTGGGACACAGGCACCTGGGACTCATACACCTGGGACTCATACACCTGGGACACAGGCACCTGGGACTCATACACCCAGGACACAGGCACCCGGGACACAGGCACCTGGGACACAGGCACCTGGGACGCAGGCCCTGGTCCAGCCCAACCCATGGGAAGAGCATTTTTCTGGCATTGCTGACACTTTCAGGTGACAGATTGAGGGAAGAGCCACTCATTCTGTAGAAAGGGCCAGAAAAGAGGTGCTGTTTGAGCTGAGTCAGGAATTCGTTCTGTTTGTTAACTGGAAGATTTTAAATACTCCCGCTTTTCTCCCTCCTCAGGCTGCAGAAAAGAATTCAAGAACTTGGAAGTAGGCTGTAAGTCTCATGACCCAGAATCACATCCACAAATAAAAAGCCCTGTGATGAAAAGGTAAGGAGGGACAGTTGGGAATATTAATGGCTTTTTCGTAAGTGGGTGTATTAGAGGAACGTTTCACTCACAGACAGGCACAGTGCCCGTTACTACCGGCAGCCGTGGCCTGCGGCATGCTGGTGCCCGTCTTATTGGAGGCAGTTAGAAGGGTGCAGACCTGAGGAGAGGGGGCCGCGGGCACAACACAATTGCTTCAGTCCTCGTAGATCCTTACAAAGTAGATGGTATTTTGCAAAAGAGAAAATTCAGGACTTAGGTGAAGTAATTTGTCCGAAGTAGTGGAGCTGAGACCTGACCATAGCTCTTGTCTACCTAGCAAAGCCTCAGCTCTCCATCCTTCTGTAATGCCCATGATAAAAATGACCAGGTGAGCAAAGCTGTTTGCAAGGTGCTACCTTTTATCTTCACCTTAGAGGTTAATCACTACCTAAATAGACGTAATCTTGGTTAGCTAGATTATTCTAAATTAGTCTCCTATCCTTGTGTGTTAGGATTAAAGTACCTCCATTACTGTAAACTCTGCAGTGTTGGTTGGGAAGTGTCTTAGGGGATTGAAGTGTTTGCTGGGAATATCTTCCGTAAGTCTGAAATTCACAGCTTTTGAAATCACACTTCTAACTAACGCTTAGAAACTCGGCCGGTGTTTCTGGTGAGCACGCCCGTCTGGTTGAGAGTCAGAGTGTAAGACGTTAATGCTTCAGAGCCTTCCACTTCTGTTATGTCACAAAAGTCGCCGAACGTGCTGCTGTGAGGGGAGGTGACCGGACAGTCCCCCGCACCGCCTGCTCACACGTGGGGCTGCAGCTTCGCTTTGCTTTTCTACTCCAGGTCCCGTGGACGCGACCCCAGCGGGAAGCTGCTCCCTGCGTCGGGGCCACACGTCCTCCGGGGCCTCCCAGCTGGTGAGCTCACCCTGTCGGGGGAGCAGAAGCCTGAACAGGCCAGCGAGTGCCAGTTTCCCGCGCGGCCAGATGGAGGCAGCTCGGAGGGGGCAGGTGGGCTCTCTCACACCAATGCCAGTCCTGCTTCTGGAATGAGAACGAACAGCGATGACTTCGCACCAGCCTCGGTGTGGCCCGCGCCCGGGAGAGCTGCGGGGCCCCCGCCCGCTCCTGCCCCCCTCGCCTGGCAGTGCACGGCCACGGACCCGTGTTCCCCGGAGACCTCCCCACTCAGGGGGCGCGGGGCTCCGTCCCCTCGCAGAGCCGACGGTGGTCAGGTGCCAAAACTCATTTGCCAGAATCCACCACCCCCTTTGCCACCAAAAAGGTATGCTGTGACCGGGGTGCCACAGCCAGGGAAAAACAGGCCTGCACCCGCGGCCAGGCTCCCAGAGGCGCCCAGCGCTCGCTCAGCCGGTCCTCCGCCGCTCAGCACGGGGACGGCAGAACCGGGCTCGGCAGTGAGCGCCCCTTCCCGGGACGAAAGGCTCAAGCAGACGGTCCACGCGAGAGAGCGCGTGGGCGCCGCCCGGAACCCCCCGGCCAGCTCCGCCAGCGGTGCCCCGGCCGGCCTGGGGGCCGGTGTGGCTGCCTCGTGCCAACCAGCAGACTGGAGTCCGGCCTGTCCCGGGGAGCCCGTCTGCCTCACCACCTACTTCTCCGTCGACAGCTGCATGACCGACACGTACAGGCTCAAGTACCACCAGCGGCCCAGGCTCTGCCTCCCCGAGCGCTCCGGCTGCGGGAGCGAGAACCCGGCCCCTCCGGGCGCAGGAGGCCTGGGGCCTGTGCTGCCGGACAGCCTCGGGGCAAGCTGCCCTCCTGAGCAAAGACACAAACCCAGTGTCCACTGTGATAGATGAGCCAGGACCCCGCCGCTCACGCTCAGAGGCCATCACAGCAGGAGGGAGCTCGACGACCGAGCCTAGTGAGCAGGGAAATGAAAACCCTGGTGTTTGTCATTCGTCACTTTAGCTTTCTCTGTGTCCTTTTACCTCGAGACAATCAACTCACTGGATATTTTAGAAATCCCGTTGAGTAGTCTTGGCTTGCCTCGAAAAATAGGGGCGAGCAGAAAGTCACTTATGGTATGCTGTCGTTGAATAAAAACGGAGTCTGTCCCTTCATTTTGTGATTGGTAGAACCCCGAGTGTGAGAGTCCCCAGAACCCTGTGCTAGCTGAAACGTGCCAGGGGATGTGTAGCGGTAGCCAAACCCGGCTGGGCTTTCTGAACAGGCACTTTCTCGTGGGGCCAAAGGCCACTTGGCCAGCCCATGGGTTCCGACTTCTTAGACAATACCAACCCGTGAAATGGATAGCATTTGGGGGAAAAGCCTTAATGATAGACATTTTTAAAATACATTTTTTATTGATTTCAGAGAGGAAGAGAGAGGTAAATAGAAATACAAACATCATGATGAGAGAGAATCATTGATCAGCGGCCTCCTGCACGCCCCATACTGGGGTTCGAGCCCGCAACCCAGGCCTATGCCCTGACTGGGAATCGAACCATGACCTCCTGGTTTATAGGTCGGCGCTCAACCACTGAGCCACACTGCTGGGCAATAAAGAAAATTATAAATTTAATACTCAAGGTCAAAACAGGAGAAACTTATTTTGCTCCTAGAACTTGCATATTCAACATGCCTAGTTAACATCAGTTTGGCCTTTGACTGTTGTATCAATAAACAATACTTCAGCCAGGTAAGCGAAAAATAATAAAATACTTAGCTTTAGTATACTTATTTATCTTGTTACTTTTTTAAACGTTTGTATGAAATGTGAACGGCCTTTATTTTGGTTTGGTTACTGTGGGCTGCTAGTGACCAGTGTTGGAAGGTGACTAGTGCCTCCTGGGAACCTCAGTGGCCGCCTGGCTTCTCCCTGTTGTCATCTCTTCCGTCTGTAGGTTGGCAACCCATTTTGTTGATTTTCTGATTCTTGTATCTGAAAATCCTTCTGGGACTTTATTAGTTGTCATTCTGTACTAACTGAGGAACCTAATTGTGGCTCAGCTGAGTTTCACATTGTCCACTCCCGAGAATGAAGAACGACACACTGAAAGCTTTTCTTGCCTTTGCCAATGGGTAAACTTTATAGATAGAACTTGATCATTTATGAACTGATTACTAAATTTAATACTTTGACCAATTCCATAAATTAAAATATTCCAAAATGTAAATGGTTAAAATACTTCTAGACAAATAGAAAGTGATTGCTTACAAAAATCTAACTTTACCCAGTTACCAAATCTTAGAGTTGTCTTCCACCGAGAAGGCTTTTTAATAGCCTTTTCTAACTACGGTAGTGATTATTACCTTCTCTTCATTTAGAAATACTTGAATATCAACTAAATTACATTTTATCTTTTAAGAAAGCTTATTTTTAACATGACTTTGAGTATGGAGCATTTGTAAATATTGTAAACTTTGAAATGTCAATGTATATAAACATTGCTTTTATAACATTGTAACATACTAGAAAATGGACTTCATGTATTTTTAATAGCTTTCAAAAACCTTTTGTGTAGGTTTTTACTCTGGTCAAGATGTTCAGTTGAGATGTATTATTTGAAATAGCTAAACTGATTTCTGATATTTAACAGCCATCTCATAGATTTGAATTTACACTCACAGTTGAGTTCAAACAACTAGGAATGCCCCCTCGGACTCCTGTTAGAGTGCTGTCCGGCCAAACATCCCGAATCATGTAACAGCTTGAACAGGCTGGAAATGACCGTTCGTCTTCATGTGAGCCAACACTCCAAATACAGTTTGAGTGCTTATTTAGTAACTAATAATCCACATCTAAAATTTTTATTTTTAGGGTGCGTATTTATTTTTATAGGTGTTTTCTGCTTATAAACTATGATAATTTTGAAATAATGGAACCAATTGTAATGTTCAAAATACTTGTCTTCCAAATGTTCTATTTTCATGTGAAATGAGTTTTTCCAGTTCAATTTTTTTTTTTTTTTTTTTTAGATAAACTGATCTTTAAGTTGATATGGTTGGACCTTTCTTTGCATTCATGAACTGTGGCTTCTTCTCCCCCCACGTGGATTATATACTTTATGTGAAATATGTCAATTTAAAGTTCAGGGGGACTTGGAATGTCACTGACCATCAAGTGTTATGACAGGAGGCCCCTGAGGGAAACGGCAGTGAAGCCTGAGCAGCCCCCACAGGAGCGGGCGAACTCAGTGAGGGGCCAGGCAGCACTCGAGGCCTGTGGACACGGGGTCTGGAGCTCACCCCTCCTCAGCTCCGCCAGGGCCGGGGAAGCAGGCGTGTGCCAGGGAAATGTGGACGTGGACACTTGAGATATACAATTTTTACATGTCAGGAAATAATCCATTCTCTCCCGCCGCTTTCTCAGCTCACGGGCTGTAGAGGCAGTGAGTGGGCCAGCTGTGGGCCACTGGCCAGTTCCATGACCCTTGTCCTGGAGCATTATCCACATTGGATGCCCTACTGACCCTCAACACCCTGTGGGCTCCGAGTGAGTCCGTGCAGTTAGGGGTGGGAATGGGCAGCACTTCACATCCTAACACTTTCAGGCTGACAGCCTTCCGCACGGCTGCTAATCAGCCAGTTCATTTCAAATGGTTGTGAAAACAGCCGTTTTACTTCCAAGCTTGTGAAATTTACCAGATTAAAGCCATATCGCTGTTATTCTTTTGGTGTCTTTGTTCTCGCCATAGCAAGTGTGCCAACATCCTTGGTGTCCCATTTACCAGGGTGGAGGCTTAGAAGCCGTCAGTCTGGGCACATGAGCCATCACTGCTTGAGGCCGCAGCTCAGTGGTAGTGCCATTTCTTACTCAGCACCTGGAGGACAGGTTCCGCCTCACCTGCCACCACTTCCGGGTGCCATTCACCGCCAGGCCCCGCACTGAGCCTCCGTGTCACCCGTGCAGAAATGGTCAGGGTGCCATTCACAGCTAGGCCCCGCACTGAGCCTCCGTGTCACCCGTGCAGAAATGCTCAGGGTGCCATCACAGCCAGGCCCAGCTCTGAGCCTCCGTGTCACCCGTGCAGAAATGCTCAGAATGTGCCATCGCTGTGTGTGGGCTGATTTAGCCTCGGAAAGGTAGTGTGCAGTGCAAGCCTGTGCGTGACTCAGCAGTGAGTAAGCTACATGAGAACTGTCATCCTGTCACAACCTAAAGTGCACATCAGACCAAGTTAGCTGCACAATAAACATTTATTGGGCAAAATTACCAGCCAGCAGCACAGAAACAGTTCCTACAATGTTTGGATACGAAAGGAAATCCCAGTTCTGTGTTTCTCTAGATCAGTGATGGCAAACCTTTTGAGCTCGGCGTGTCAGCATTTTGAAAAACCCTAACTTAACTCTGGTGCTGTGTCACATATAGACATTTTTTTGATATTTGCAACCGTAGTAAAACAAAGACTTATATTTTTGATATTTATTTTATATATTTAAATGCCATTTAACAAAGAAAAATCAACCAAAAAAATCGCCGTCACTGCTCTAGATGCTCCCACCTTTGCCCGAAAGGTTTTCTTCAGAGAGATCAAGGGTACCCTGGAGGCGTCATTGTTAACCTTGTAGTTGACAGATAAAGTCCTCCCAAATCAGTCCCAGATTCCACTGTAACCCAAGTGCAATTCTGAAAGGCAGAGGACGCAGAGTTCACCAGATCCATGCCCTGATTTGAAAGAAGGGGCGTCTCCCCAAAATACGTAGGCGATTCACATCCGTCCGATGTCCCCAATTTCGACAAGAGGCTGTTCCGAACATTGTGTGTAAAGGAGTGTCTGTCCTGTGCGTCTGAAGGGCCTATCGTAGCTACTGAGTGCGGCTCTGCTCGTCAGATGCCAGCTGCGCACTCCTACAACGTAAATTCTTGTTTATTCAGAGAAAAAACAAGGTGCTGAGCCCCATGAAGGCAGTGATTTCCGTTTTGTTCACCGCTGTACCCGGCCCATACAAGTGCTCAAATATTCGTTGGGTGAATAAATATGCTGATTTTGCTGAATAGTTAAGTTACAGTAATTATAAAAACAAATGTGTTTTGGCCACAACCATTCTTAATGTAACCACAATAATAAATAATAGGATTGAAACACGCTGTCCTCCTTTAGAGAGTTCAGGAGCTTAAAAGGAAGAGGGGAAGCACTGGGCAGGAGGAGCTGCCCCCTAGCTTTCCACTACTGGATATTACTACTTTCTCTAAGGTCATGTCAACCTGGCAGCCAAACAGAGGCCCACCGCATCTAGAACTTAAGCTGGACTTTTACAGCCAGTAACTTGTAGACCTGCACTCTCTGTGTAGCTTTTAATTCCTTTTCTAAAATTCTCCCCTTGCTTTCTAGGAATTTAATTGTACATACTTCACCTTAATAATTCACCATATATAACATTACATCATGCTAAACCCTGGTCAACCCTTGAAAGGTTAAGGGAAAGTCATTGCTGTCGTTCTTAATGGGCACACAAAACCTCTGTGTACAAATATTTTAATTCAGCTCCTGTAAAGCCAGCAGCTATTTGAAGACAGTTTTTAAACATGAATCAAAGAGTCTAGTTTTAAGGACTTAGCTATGAATGGTGAGGTCACTGCCCATTTAATCCAGTCCCCCAAAGAGTAAGGAATGTGGAAAAGGAGAGAAGGGCCCTTAAGAGTCTGAAGTTCTTCTGTTGCACAATCCTGTCTTTGCTCAAGAAGCTGTAAGTCGTGTTCAGAATTCAGTCCAGGAGTCAACTTCTGGATGTAGATACCAGGCAATCCATCTGTAAAAACCAAGTATTCGTCAACAGCGTTTCCTTTCTCTTCCCATAGTATTTTGTGCCCACTTCTGAAACTGTCTCGGGGACTTGCCTATTCCAGATGAATGACATTGACAAGAGCAGAAAATAGCCCGAACCATTGATCAAAGGCTTCTGTTTCTACCCAGAGCTGAAAATTCAGGTTATTAAAAAAAAAAAAAAAAAAGACTATACTTAAGGTACATCTCTACCCAAAAGGGGGAGGTGCAGAAGAGAGGAAACGCTCCCTGTACAAATGGCCCCACAGAGGATCTTACACCCAAGTCTCCTGTCCGCCCACTCGCCCTTGTCCCTGCCCACCTGCCAGAGCCCAGAAACCGGAGACAGAGGGCCTGGCTATGAGCTTAGGCTCAAATCTTTGCCAGAACTCGGGCAACTGCCATCAAGAGCACTCACTTGCCAGCGTGAGGACCGAGGGCCGTGAACTCACGGTGCATAGAGAACTCCGAAGTCCAGGAGCCTTGGGTCCCTTCTCCCATAGGTGGATCCCTTCTCCCATAGGCGGATCCTTTCTCCCATAGGCGGGTCCCTTCTCCCACAGGTGGGTCTCTTCTCCCATAGGCGGGTCCCTTCTCCCACAGGTGGGTCCCTTCTCCCATATAGGTGGGTCCCTTCTCCCATAGGCGGATCCCTTCTCCCATAGGCGGGTCCCTTCTCCCATAGGCGGGTCCCTTCTCCCATAGGCGGGTCCCTTCTCCCATATAGGTGGGTCCCTTCTCCCATAGGTGGATCCCTTCTCCCATACGTGGATCCCTTCTCCCATAGGTGGATCCCTTCTCCCATATAGGTGGGTCCCTTCTCCCATAGGTGGATCCCTTCTCCCATATAGGTGGATCCCTTCTCCCATAGGTGGATCCCTTCTCCCATAGGTGGGTCCCTTCTCCCATAGGTGGATCCCTTCTCCCATATAGGTGGATCCCTTCTCCCATAGGTGGATCCTTTCTCTCATATAGGTGGATCCCTTCTTCCATAGGCGCCTCCTCTGCTCCCTGCTCCTCCGCTCCACCTACCCTCCCCCCGCCCCCACCCCGTGTCAGCCTAGCGTCCCTCTCCTCCCCTGCCCTCCCCTCTCCTTCCCCTTCCTTCCCTCCCCGCTGCCTGGACTGTCTTCCGAGGGCGCGGTTGGGAAAATGGACTTGCAGGCGGAACCCACCGAGCTCTGGGAACTGCCCACGGGTGTCCGGGATGGGGGTGTGTGCAGAGGGGTCCGGCGGGTCCCGGGTGGAAAGCTGACATTGACGAAATGGCAGCTCTGGGGCCCGAGACCCCGGTGCGGCGGGCTCCGGGTCCGGCTGCCGAGCAGTTCGGGGCCTGAGGGCCACGCAGACACCCCGCCTGCAGGGGAAGCTCGGCCCTCCGGCCGCTGCACGCGCAGGACTGGCCGCTCGGGTCCCCGCGCGAATGCCTCGAGCTCGGAGGAGCGAAGTCACCCCCGGCCTTCGGGGCGAGGAGCGCGCACCCCGCGGCTTCCTGGCAGAACATCCCACAGACACGCGGCCCAGATGCCCGCACCCCTTTCCCCGCGCTCACCACGGCCACAGGTACACGACCAGGAACAGCACCAGGTCCACCAGCACGAACAGCCAGAGGTCCAGCCAGTACGAGTGCCTGGGCAGCCGCTCCGCCGCCGCCGGGGGCCGCCCCTGGTGGTTCTGCTGCAGCGCCGCCGCGTCGCCCGGCCCTCGCCGCTCGCGGGGCCCGTTCCGGCCGCCTCCCGCCGCCGCGCGACCCTCCATGGCACCTCCACCCGCAACCGGAACCCGCCTTCCGCGCTTCCGCTTTCCCAGGCCCGTCCAGGGACCCTGGCCGCCGCCTACGCATGCGCGGCGCCCCGCCCCGGAAGTGGCCCTGCCCCCACGCTCAGGCCCCGCCCGCGGCCGGCTGCGTCTGTGACTGCCGGCAGGCAGCGCGCAGGGCGGGGTGGCCGCCGCCCACCAGCCGCACCTGCGGGCCCGCCCCGCCGCCTGTGGCCTCCAGGCTGGAAGCTGGCCATTCCGGTTTCCCTGGAAGAAGTGCCTCGACCGGACCGGAAGTAGTTGTCACGGCCGGTTCCCAGCGGCGACGGTCCCACCGGCGTTCCCTTGGGATCCTGGTGCAGCAGCGGAGGGCGCGTGCGCTCCGGGCCTCCCCGCGGGCCGCGCTGGCTTGTCGTGTGGTTTGCGAGTGAGTTGCGAATCCTAATGACCGGCGCGAGCCCCTCGGGGGCAGAGGACGGAGGGGCACGCACCCCGCGGCGTGAACTCGAGAGGGACCCGGGTTTGCGCAGGGACCCGGGTTTGCGCAGGGACCCGGCAGGATGGAGCGCACCCGGGAAGGGAGCGACTGCCCACTGCAGGCAGCAACCCCTCCGCCGCCCCTCTTGCTCCGTTTGGGTCTCAGGGTGACGGCGACAGGGGACAGGTCCACAGCGGAGCATGCGCGTTTACTCATCTCTCAGGTCCCGGGACCCTCAGGAGAGGACGGGGCCGGGGCAGAAAGCTCTACCAGCGGTTCTCAACCTGTGGGTCGCGACCCCTTTGGCGGCCGAAGGACCCTTTCACAGGGGTCTCCTAAGACCATCCTGCATATCAGATATTTACATGACGATTCATCACAGTAGCAACATGACAGTTATGAAGTAGCAACGAAAATAATTTTATGGTTGGGTCACAACATGAGGAGCTGTATTTAAAGGGCCAGAAGGTTGAGAACCACTGCGTCTACACCAAACACGGGGAGTGAACCCAGGGCTTTGGGCGCTGGTGGTAGATGGTGGGAAGAGAGAAGGGTTTGCCTGAACAGATGTCTCGTCGCCATTCCTCGTCCCTTGTTCCCCCTGGGCCAGGGAGGCCCCTCATGAAGGTCAGGGAGCCCTCAGTGCACCCGCGACTTCTCAGGAGCGCTGAGGCCCAAGCGGTTTCCTAGGACAGCTCATCTGGCGTGTTCACGTGGCTCTACTTTCAGGCAGGGGAGCCCAGGTTGTAATTTGGCTGGCATCGAAGGCGGAGGGCCTGGTGACCGAGGGCGTCAGGAGTCCGAGTCCACATCATCCTAACCATCTGGGCGGGAGCCTTCCTATCCCTGGTCACCACATGAGGTGAAAAGGCCAGTGTTGTTCATGGCTGAGATCGGACAGGAACGTGTGACCACTGGGGCGGGGTTGGGGCACCTTGTCACCTGTCCTGCCGGCGTCTGCACCTCTCCATCCCTGTGTGTTCCTGTCAGTCTGGAGAAGCAGAGCAGGCTGTGGAATAGTGGCACAGGAGGTAGGCCTTGGCAGCTACAAGGCTTGGATTTGTTACCGGATTGTTGGTCTACCCACAGATAATGTTTGGTCTTTGGCAGCTAATCCGGGGAGCCACTGAGCTACCCAAGGTTGCACAAGCGAGCTGGTGAGCCACACGTAACATCTGGCAAGTGTCCGTACCGTAAGAGCCCGCACCAAGACAGTTCGTGACCTTCGTGAGAGGCTTGAGGATGCCGCCTGTGGAATCACACCACAGGGAGGTTGCAATGTTGCCTTGGTACACGACCCAGACAAGGCCTAGCACTGTGCCAGCTTTCACTGCAAAGGGGAAATGCCCTTCTGAGTGTCTGCCTGAGCAGAGACAGTCCTTGAGCTTCTAAAGGGATTTCTGCGTGTGTGTGCATGTGTGTGTGTCCAGCTGACTCACCAAAAGGAGAAGAGTGACATTGTTTTCTTGGTCATGGATGCCATACATTGTCATTCATCCATTTTCTAGAGTTGGTTCTCCAGGTCCTCCCATTGGCAGGAACACGAATTAGTTTTTTTGCTCCTGCCAGTGGTCTAAATGTCAACATAGCCAGCTCTCGGGTTGATTCGTTAATGTGGCCAGGGTTTGGAAAGCTGGTACAGGGGGTGTCTGTGCTTGACCTGTTGAGAAACCAGTACGAGTTTAACTTCATAAGAGTGAGACATGGTTTGAGGAAGAGTCATGTTGGAGAACCAGATGGAAAATAGGATAGATTGAGGCAAGCAAGCTCCTGTCCACCTTTTATTTTATTTTTATTTATTTATTTATTTATTTATTTATTTTTAATTAAATCTTATTGTTCAGATTATTACAGTTGTTCCTCTTTTTTCCCCCCATAGCTCCCCTCCACCCGGTTCCCACCCCACCCTCTGCCCTTACCCCCGCCACCCACTGTCCTCATCCATAGGTGTACAATTTTTGTCCAGTCTCTTCCCACACCCCCCATCCCCCTTTCCCCCCTGAGAATAGTCAGTCCACTCCCTTTCTATGCCCCTGATAATATTATATTCACCGGTTTATTCTGTTCATCAGATTCTTTATTCACTTGATTTTTAGATTCACTTGTTGATAGATGTGTATTTGTTGTTCATAATTTGTATCTTTACCTTTTTCTTCTTCTTCCTCTTCTTAAAGGATACCTTTCAGCATTTCATATAATACTGGTTTGGTGGTGATGAACTCCTTTAGCGTTTTCTTATCTGTGAAGCTCGTTATCTGACCTTCAATTCTGAAGGATAGCTTTGCTGGGTAAAGTAATCTTGGTTGTAGGTTCTTGCTATTCATCGCTTTGAATATTTCTTGCCACTCCCTTCTGGCCTGCATGATTTCTGTTGAGAAATCAGCTGACAGTCGTATGGGTATTCCTTGTAGGTAACTGACTTTCTTTCTCTTGCTGCTTTTAAGATTCTCTCTTTGTCTTTTGCTCTTGCCATTTTAATGATGATGTGTCTTGGTGTGGTCCTCTTTGGATTCCTTTTGTTTGGGGTTCTCTGCGCTTCCTGGACTTGTAAGTCTGTTTCTTTCACCAGGTAGGGGAAGTTTTCTGTCATGATTTCTTCAAATAGGTTTTCAATGTCTTGCTCTCTCTCTTCTTCTGGCACCCCCATAATTCAGATGCTGGTACACTTGATGTTGTCCCAGAGGCTCCTTACACTATCTTCATATTTTTGGATTCTTTTTTTGTTTTTCCGGTTGGGTGATTTTTGCTTCTTCATATTTCAAATCTTTGACTTGATTCTTGCAATCCTCTACTCTGCTGTTGGAACTCTGCATAATATCCTTTATTTCAGTTAGTGTGTGCTTAATTCCTAGTTGGTCCTTTTTCATAACCTTGAGGGTCTCACTAGATTTCTTGAGGGTCTCACTAAATTTATCGGCAGTCTCACTAGATTTCTTGAGGGTCTCACTAAATTTATTGGCGGTTTCTAGAAAATTCTTGAAACCTTAAAAGTGTAGTTTTGAACTCTATATCCAGTAGTTTGCTTTCCTCCATTTCTGTCATTTGTGACTTGTTTCTTTGTCTCCGCATTTTTTATGCTTCCCTGTGTTGATAAAGTGGTTTTCTGTGCTGAGTGTCCTCTAGGGCCCAGTGGCTCAGCCTCCCAGTTACCTGAGGTGGACACTCTTGGTGCACCCCTTTGTGGGCTTTGTGCACAGCCTTGTTGTAGTTAAGTCTTGATTGTTGTAGGTATCACTGGGAGGAATTGACCTCCAGGCCAATTGGCTGTGAGAATCAGCTGTGTCTGCAGTGGGAGAACTTCTTAGCTGGGGACACCCTTCTGGGGCAAGACTTGCTTCAGTGGGGCTTTAGTGCTCATTGAGTCTGCCCCCTGAGTGTGTCCCTTATGGATCTGAGGAGTTGTAATCTGGATGGTCCCACTCTGACCACTGGGTACACTGGTTCTTGGATCTCTAAGGAGGTGCTAATTTAGCCTCTGCCTGAGGCTACCAAGCTGGAGCTATGGAGAGATTCCTCTTCTTTGTGTGGGGTTTGGAGGTGCCCAGATGAGGCCCAGCTGTGAAGCAATGCAAGCTGCTGTAGAGCCTTGGACCTTCTTTTGGAAGTTCTGGGTCTCTCTGATTCAGCTGCAGTTTGTTAGGTAATTTTCAGGTTGCAAAGGGCCAGGCCTTTCATATGCAAAAGCCTCTGTGCACAGCTTGGGTGGGGCGGGGCCTCGGGATCAACAGGGTGGAGCAAGCAGCTATGGCTGCTCCTCAGTCCTACCCTAAGTGGCCCCGAGTCTCAGTGTCCCTGTAATTGCTGCAAGCACCTCTGAGAGAAAGCCACCCTCGAGTTCTACCCTATGCCAGACAGTCCAGTTTCTCCCCATATGAGTCTGGGTCCCCAGAGACTCACCCGGAACTTGAGTTCAGAGCAGTTGGGAGCTTGAGACTCCCTCCCGATTGAAAAAGATAACCGTGTCCTCAGTTGCCAGCCCTTTCAGTGTGCGCCTCCCTACCTCTGCACTTTACTTCCACACCGCACCTCCTCTGAGTCTCAGTGCTTTTCTCTTTTCCTTCTAGTTGAAGAATTTCCACTCAGCCAGCCTTCCTGTGGTTCTCTCCTGTCCGCCTTTTAATAAATGGCTGAAGGAAGTGGAGGCTTGGTTAAAAGAAAGAACCCCCTCTGTTTTATTTCCCTCTAGAAGTGCTGAGACCCAATTGGGGAGAAAGTAGCTGGGAGTGAAGTTTCTTGATCTGTGATCTTGGGAAGAGCTGTCTGTTTCATGCTTGTGTCTGCCTCTGGGGCCTGGGAATTGGTCCAGGAGTCCTGACTTCAAGGTCACCTTTTGATGGTCTTCTAATTATCCTGGCAGTGATGGGCACACCAACCTAGTGTGGCTTGTGTGAATCCAAAGTAATTTTTTCTTCATTTTGATGGCAGTAGGTGGTGAGCATCTCATAAGGGCCTTCTCAGCAACGCGACAGCATGTGCTTTCTTTTCAAAACCGTGATGTCCGTCCCATCTCCAAGTCAAAAGGGATGGCAAGGCTTAAGGTCAGTGGAGGCCACGCCCTTTCACCTCTTGATGATGCCCTCCAGGCACACTAGTTAGTTCCTGCATGTCGCTGGTCAGACATGAAATCAAGTCCCTGTCCTGTTCACTGAAGCCGAGAATGGGAGGTTTAGAGAAGCCAGTAGGCATAGGGCAACCCAACACTCATCCAAAGGGGTGATCCGTGTCTTCTACCCAGAGGTTTCTATAAGGACATTGGGAGTGCTCTGGCCGGCAAGTCCAGTTTCTGATACAGTTTCCATAAAGCCTTTTGATTCCTAGACTTCTGGTTCCTTTTGCCCTGTGGATTGGGGTTGGTACCGGGAATGAAATATTGGTGGGTACCCCAGAGTTTTTGCAAGGAAGTGGTTTATTTCTGCTGAACAACGGGTTCCCTTGTCTATGTCAGTCCATCCAGGAACATACAGGGGTTAACCTCTCCTCCCCTGTGGCGTCCGTCCACCAGTCCTCCCCGAGTCCATCCACCACATACACAGGCTGGAACCAGTGGGAAGAGCCCACAGTGGAGGCAGCTCTGGGGTCTGCTTTTAGTACTGCACAGGCAGTGGGGTAAGGGGAGCATTTCCTCACCCCAGGTTTAGGAACAAGGACAGGATGGCCCTGGCTGGACACTGAGGCCCTGGGGCCTCGGACAGAAGCCAGCAGAAGGTAGGGATTGGCCCTTGACAGTCTCTAGCTCTGCCTGCAGTGGCCAGTCTGTCTTAGTCACTCCCCTTCTAGACGTAGAGTGGCCGGAGAAAACGTGTGGCTCGTTCTTTAGGAACAGTGACTCTGGTCTTTCTCTTATGAGGACTCTTCTTTTCTACTTCTGATGGCTGTGAGGAAAGGAAGCTTAAAAACTGATCTCTCTAGACCCCAGCACCCTCAGAGAGTTCATTTTTCCCTTCTGTGGGACAGTGCCCCTCAACTCACAGGGTCAGCTGTCCTCAGTCGCACCCAGAGCTCACCATTAGCCTCAGCAGAGGACTGGACGGGCTTCGGGGGCACGATCAGCGTCAGCCCTGTCCCGAGGCTCACTCTCCTGGCACCTCTGAGTCTGTCCAGGCTGACGGGTCTCCGGGCTACCTACTCATAGTCCATATCTCAGGCCACCCCAGCATCCTTAGGCCCCTCCGTCCGTTTCCGCCTCCATCATTACTGCTTCACGTCCCCGTGACAGTTCTCTGAGAGCTGGGCAGTTGTAACCAGTGCTTTTGGCGCAGCTTCTCTTCTGTCTTCGTCTTGGCCTCTCACAGCTCCCATCGCTCGGCCCACTCAGCCCAGTGCCCAGCAGCATCTCTGCTCAGACATTCAGCACCCCAGTGCCCAGCAGTGCCCCTGCTCATCCTCCTACTGCCCCCCCATGCCCAGAGCAACCCTCTCAGCCACCCAGCCCCATCTCCCCCAAGCCCAGAACACCCCCCTCAACCACCCAGCCCCCTCTCTCCCCATGCCCAGAGCACCCCTGCTCAGCACCCCGCCCCAGTGCCCAGACAACTCTGCTCAGCCACTCAGCCCCTGAGGCCCAGAGCGCCCCTCCTTAGCCAGATTTCGGTCTCTGTCTTCCAGTGGACGCACTCCTCCTCTGGCCTGTGGGCTGTGGTGCTTTTTGTTCTCACTAAATTATGTCCGAGCCCTATCCATCCCTTGTCCGTCTAAACGCGCCTTCCTAACGTCTCCCCGCTGCAGTTCACACCCAGCCTCCGTTCTCAGTACATCTAACATGCCAATTGCAAAAACGCACATTCCCCTGTCACCAACCTGTTATGGGCTGCTTTCTTCTTGGGCAGGGTTATGTCCTGAAGGCCAAGGCAGTGAGGGGCTATTCCTTCGCCTTCTCATTCTGTAGCACCTCCTGTTGATGATGCTGTAATTGGATGGGTCATTTTTCAAAATTTCTCTACGTTCTGCTAAAAAATACTGAAATTTTCTTACCATACATTCTGGTGCATTGACTTGCTTTGCAGCACAAATTTACGTGAATTGTCTCCCCTGTCAGAATAATAAGTGTTCTTTACGGGGGGGACTATCTTCTTTACCATCTTCGCAGCCTCCACAGTCCCTCCCGCAGTACCTTGAACAGGGAAGAAATTCAGGATTTATTCAGTTATATTTTGTTGCACCAATAGCATTGGTGACAACTGCCCAGCTCTAAAGAGAACTGTCACGGGGGCTGGAAGCAGTAATGATGGAGGAGGAAACGGACGGAGGGGCCTAAGGATGCTGGGGTGGCCTGAGATATGGATGTTTTCAGCGACCACCAACACAGTCCTGTTCACAAAGTACTTGATGATCTCTTCCTGGCAGAGTAGTGAAATGGTCCCTCCCTGTCAGGCTCCTTCAGGTACTGGTGAGGGACACGCACGAGCCGCGCCCCCGTGGATGGCTCGTCTTTAATCCCAGGAAGCAGTCTCAGAGTGCGGGCGCTGAGGAGCCCCGGGAGACACAGAGGCCGTGTCCTCCAGCCTCAGCAGGACCGGTCTCCACCACAGCACAGTGGTGTGTGGCCAGCAGCCTGGCCCGGAGCCCGAGGGCGTGCATCCGCCTGGGTGCGGGGAGGGCCACACGGGATAGGCTGTGAATGAACGGCCTCTCCACCTGCTGCTCACGCACGCAGGGACCTCCGCAGTGGAGCTCGGTCTCCTTTATTTCATGTTGCAGGGTTCATAGGAGATTTCATTTTAAAATAAAGGAGACATTCCACTGCTTTCTAAGGATTAAAAACAACTCAATGGGGCCAAGGTCACTTAATTGACAGGCAGACATAGATGACAAAGATGGCGGAACCCACAACCTTAAAATATCTTCATGCTCATCAGCAGAGCAAACAACCAGCTTTTGTTTTATTGGAAGGTGGAGGGACAGTCTCAGCGGGTGGAGACTGGAGGTGAGTCAGCACAGGGCCCATCTGCTCTCATGAAGCGATTGAACAGGCTTCCAGTCGAGGGCGTGCCGATGCCATAGGCGCCATCTGGAATAACAGTGCGAGCTGAGTGGATGCCAGGTGATCCTGCCACCCACCAGACACTCACCAGAACTGGGCATTGTTCTGAGTGTGGGAGATGTCAGCATGCTAACAGCAGTTACCTCAGGAAATGGGATCGCAGATCGTTTTATTGCTGTGCTTTTTCATATTTTCTAAACTTTCTCAAAGAAAATACATTAACTAGAAGTTGGGGAGGAAGGTTTTTGAAAGCAAGTTAGGAAATAAATGAGGCCACCTGCGCCAAAGCTCCTACTTAGTGATTTCTAACGTGGGACCAGAGCAGGAGGGGCGTCAGTGTGGGATTGCTGTGAGGGTGACTGCTCGTCAACCTGCCCTTCATGGAGCTCTGACCCCCGAGGAAGCTTTGACGCCCACACCTATAAATGTCCCCGGGAGGAAACAGACTTACTTTCCCTTCCAGTCCGGTGACCTCTGTGTCAGAAGGTCCTTGGGAGACCCAGGTTTGGAATGGTGGAGAAGGCAGCTCCACGCCTCATCCGTCCACGGAGACCTGGGGAATGAGCAGGGACTGTCCCAAGCAGTTGTCACGACTCGGCACAGTCAGAGGCTTGCAGATCTGAGCCAACACTGTCAGTGACATGAAGAAGACGTGGACAGAATCGAGGGAGAATAGACAGTTCTGCAATAACAGTTGAAAGTTCAACACCCGCTGTCACTAATGGGTGCAACATCCAGACAGAAGGTCGGTAAGAAAGCAGGAACTTGAATGGCACTGTAACCACCAGACAAACAGACATGGAGCTGTACCCAGCAGCCCCAGAATCCATGCTCCTTTGCTCGGCAGCCTGAATGACTGGACAGGTCATGCATGAACTTTAGAAAGTGGGAAAAGTAAACTTTATAAAGTCTCAATGTTGCCACCTCACTAAAGAGTCCTACACAAATCCCAGCTCCCAGCAAGCAAGAGGCTGGGCTTATACATCGCGTCCTCTGCTCTCCCTACACCCGGCAGCCTGAGCCTGGATCAGCACCCATAGATAATGGGTGTCAGATGGCACAGTGCTGTGGGGGCAGTGAGCCTGGATCAGCACCCATAGATAATGGATGTCAGATGGCACAGGGCTGTGGGGACAGTGAGCCAGACTGCTTCGGTTCAAGTCCTAGATCAGCCACTTCTTGACTGTCATGTTGTCCAAGTTCCATAACCCCTCTTATTTAGTTTCCCCATCTGTTAAGTGAGGGTTGCAGTGCTGGTTCTCGTGTGGTCTGTGAGCATTAACACGCTTTGATTTTTAAGAGGCATTTCAACGCCTGCTCATTACAGACATCACAAAAGTGGGCAAGGTGCACTGAACTTCATCTCAGCTAGTGCTGTGTTCTGTGGATAAAACACTTATTTATAGTTTACAATGCTCTCTTTGTATTTTGGAGCCAATTTGTATTTTGAAGATATTTTAAGTCCTGGGAACCAGCCTTTTCATGTCTGGTTACAAATTAAAATAAGGATGGAAAGAACACATCCTTATAGAGTGTGCAACAGGCCTCCTATAACTCAGGGAGGCCACATAACCAGCATGTGGGGAAGGAGGCCCATGGAAACATGAGTTTACATGCTGCGGGAGTCTGTGAGAGCTTCGGCCACTTCCTGGTAACACCTATCACAGTGGTTTCTGTTTGTTTCTACCTCCAGATTCTGTCCTAGGCTGGATTTGAAGCTCTATGGGAACAACAGGTCTGTGTCATCCATCCCTGAGTTCAGATTAGCTGGAGCGGGGCAAGCTGACCAGCACAGGTTTATCTTTGTGTAAGCCCCAGAACACAAGTGGGAAGGCTGCCTGGCTGCCCACAGGGCCAGGTATCATCCAGCTACAATGATTAATGTTTGCTGTGTGTGAGAGGGATATGGGTGCACAGAACTGAGACCATCCTGGTCTTGGAGACCTCACGGCCTGCAGGTGGCAAGTGAACCCACTGGGTCCAGAGTGCTGGTGTGATACTGGCGAGCCCTCTGTGCTGTGGGCACACAGGAGGCACACACAGGGGCCTCGGTGTGAAGTAAGGGCCATCCTCATTCCAGTTTTTCTGTCCAAGTACATGTTGAAACAAAGATATTCTGGGTCATATTTGTCCTTTGATATCCTTATTATCTTGATATCTTCTTTAAAAAGAAAATACAGAGAGGAGAACCAAGATGGCGGCATAGGTTAACGCTGGAGTTTGCTGCTTTGAACAACTACTTCAAAAGTGAAACTAAAAGACGGAAGGGACATCACCCAGAACCACAGGAACGCTGGCTGAGTGGAAGCCCTACAACTAGGAGGAAAGAGAAACGCATACGGACACTCAGAGGAGGCGCAGTGCTGAAGTCAAATTCTGAGGTGCGGAGTGCACGGAGCGGGCTGGCGGCGGAGGGCGCTGTTGGCGTTTTCAATCGGGAGGGAGTCGCAGACTCTGAGCTCCAGATCCGGGCGGGTCTTTAGCGACCCAGACTCAAACGGGAGAAGCGGGACTGTCTGGCTTCGGTCAGAGCGAGTGCAGCTTTCTCTCCGAGCTTTGCAGCGGGTGCTGGGACTCAGAGAGGCAGAGCCCCTGGGGACAGGACTGAGAGCTGCCATAACTGCTCTCTCCGGCCCACCCTGTTGATCCTGTGCGACCCGCCCCGCCCAAGCCCTGCACAGAGGCATTTGCCGGATAGCCTCAGGCAAAGGCTAGATTAGCACCTCCCTAGAGGACAGAAGTTCTCTCACTGCTGACACAGCTGATTCTCATAGCCACTTGGCCCTGAGGTCAAACCCTCCCTGGTATTAGCTACAACAAGGTTTAACTATAAGACTGCCAACAAAGACCACGAGGGTGTGCACCAAGGAAGCATAACAAAATGCGGAGACAAAGAAACAGGACAAAATTGTCAATGGAAGATATAGAGTTCAGAACCACACTTTTAAGGTCTCTCAAGAACTGTTTAGAAGCCGCCGATAAACTTAATGCAATCTACAAGAAAACTAATGAGACCCTCGATGTTATATTGGGGAACCAACTAGAAATTAAGCATACACGGACTGAAATAAAGAATATTATACAGACTCCCGACAGCAGGCCAGAGGAGCGCAAGAATCAAGTCAATGATTTGAAATGCGAGGAAGCAAAAAACATTCAACCGGAAAAGCAAAATGAAAAAAGAATCCAAAAATGCGAGGATAGTGTAAGGAGCCTCTGGGACAGCTTCAAGCGTACCAACATCAGAATTATAGGGGTGCCAGAAGATAAGAGAGAGCAAGATATTGAAAACCTATTTGAAGAAATAATGACAGAAAACTTCCCCCACCTGGTGAAAGGAATGGACTTACAGGTCCAAGAAGCGCGGAGAACCCCAAACAAAAGGAATCCAAAGAGGACCACACCAAGACACATCATAATTAAAATGCCAAGAGCAAAAGATAAAGAGAGACTCTTAAAAACAGCAAGAGAAAGAAACTCAGTTACCTACAAGGGAATACCCATACGACTGTCAGCTGATTTCTCAACAGAAACTTTGCAGGCCAGAAGGGAGTGGCAAAAAATATTCAAAGTGATGAATACCAAGAACCTACAACCAAGATTACTTTATCCAGCAAAGCTATCATTCAGAATTGAAGGTCAGATAAAGAGCTTCACAGATAAGGAAAAGCTAAAGGAGTTTATCACCACCAAACCAGGATTATATGAAATGCTGAAAGGTATCCTTTAAGAAGAGGAAGAGGAAGAAAAAGGTAAAGATACAAATTATGAACAACAAATATGCATCTATCAACAAGTGAATCTAAGAATTAAGTGAATAAATAATCTGATGAACAGAATGAACTGGTGATTATAATAGAATCAGGGACATAGAAAGGGAATGGACTGACTCTTCTTCGTGGGGAAAGGGGTGTGGGAGATGTGGGAAGAGACTGGACAAAAATCGTGCACCTATGGATGAGGACAGTGGGTGGGGAGTGAGGGCGGAGGGTGGGGCGGGAACTGGGAGGAGGGGAGTTATGGGGGGGAAAAAAAGAGGAACAAATGTAATAATCTGAACAATAAAGATTTAATTAAAAAGAAAAAAAAAGAAAAAAGAAAAGAAAAAAAAAAAAGAAAATACATAGAAATGATTACAACAGGACAGCAAAAATGGGGAAACAAAGAAACAATCCCCAAAGGAAAGAAAAGGAGGAATTGCCAGAAAAGTAACTAAATGAAATGGAGGCAAGTAATTTGTCAGAATAATGGTTATATGGATGTTCAAACATCTGGATGAAAAATACATGCAGCTCAATGAGAATTATAAGGAGCCAAATGAGAATTTCACCAGTATGAGTAAGAATCAAGAGCAAATGAAGAATGACATAGCTGTGATAACACAATAGAAGGTTTCAACAGTAGTTCTGAAGAAACTGAGGACTGAATCGGTGAGTTAGAAGACAAGGTAAAAAAATTATCTAAAGGAAAACCAAGAAATGGTAGTAAGCACATACTCCTTGACCTGAAGCACTTTGTGTATGTTTCTTTGTGAAAGAGGGGGAGCACAGTTCTCTAGCTCCAGGTGTTTCCTGTGTTGAGTGTGGGCCATGGAGCAGAACTGTCTGAAAAAACGCCTTATACCACTGTCCTCTGGGATGTGACCTTGTGACTGGGCAGAGGTCCAGGAGAGCTTCCTCCCTCCCCAGGCTCCACTCCTCCTCCCCACACAGGAGTCCTGCCCACTTACTACTGGGCAGGACTTGCCTTCCCTCTTCTCTTACTGGTTATCTGGCTGCCACTGAAGGCAGGACTCTCACAGAGTTCTCAGTGGGAGTTGTGAGGGACCAGAGAAGCCCTCAGAACACTCTTCTGATAATTTGCTCCATGGCCCTACATTTTGTGACTTCTGCCACTTCCTGCTGACTCTGTCTGCTGATTGTGACATCTCTTCCAACTAGTAGCCTGAAGGTGGTTGTTGAACCTGGTGGTCATAAGTATACATCACCTTGCATGTCAGTACATGCTGAGGGTCACCCTACATATCAGTACACACTGAATGAGTGTCACCCTGCACGTCAGCACACGCAGAACGAGTGTCACCCTGCACGTCAGCAGTCAGAACGAGTGTTACCCTGCACGTCAGCACACTCAGAATGAGTGTCATCCTGCACGTCAGCACACGCAGACCCAGTGAATCTGTTGATGACAGTCTTAATAACTATCTTACCAGTGGCATTTATTATTGAATACTTGATTCCTGACACACAGTGCTGTTTAAAACCAATGAAAGCCACTTTGGGGTTTGTTCAGGAGGACAGAGAAGGAGTTTTTGCGTTGCTTCTGTTTAGTTTGGAAGTTGGCATGAAGAAGCCTTTGCCAGGTATTGCCAACTGCCCAATGCACCATGCTCAGCCCTTCTGGACTCCTCCTAATGAAAGGCACCTGCCCCGGAGGCCTTCAAAGAGGTCATGTCCATGACCAGCAGGTGGCAGTCTCATCCTAGGGTTGAGAAACAGCAAGTGGCAGCAGAGGGTCAAGAGCATTTCATACCCCTTGGAAGTGCCTCCTCAGACAGCATCTCACCCACCCTGCCCCATCTGCAGGCGCCAGGGCTGGCATTCTGCCAGGCTCTAGGTGCTCGTGGGAAAATGGCTGTTACAGTTAGTCCCAGCGGGCTCACAGGAATGGGGCCTGTGTAAAATGCACATGCGGGGCTCCTGGTTCAGAATTTCCTGAGTGTTAGTGCAGTCACAGCCGTGAGGCAGCATGCTGAGGTCTTCAGAGGTCACACCCTTTCCACCTCTGCCATCGCAGCTGCTGTGACACACAGCATGGCACTTAACGGAGTCACTGCATGCTGTTCACCAACCATGGAATCTGGCACCGGGATGGGGTTGTAGGGACCATCTAGTCCAATGGCCTCGTAAAGAGGACTGAACTACGTTCTAAGAGACCAAGTGACTCCTGTGTCCTGAGCTGGTGATGTCACAGACTGCCCTGAACTCAGGGTCCTCACTCCCAGGCGAGACTCTTCCTCCCGACCCCAGGCTGGTGATGCCCCAGGCTGAGGGCCTCCCCCTAAGGTTGGTGATACCCCAGACTGAGGGCCGCCCCCCACAGGCTGTGGGCCTTACCCGTCCCCCCACCAGGCTGGTGATGCCCCAGACTGAGGGCCTCACTCCAGGTGAGGCTCTCCCCCAACCCCTTGGCTTTGCCATCTGTTAGACACACTTTGCTCTGTTCTCCCTTCAAGAGAAGGGCATAGATGCGAATCACTAACATTTATTGTGTACAAAAATCAAGGCTGGGCCCTTGCACTTGAGTTAGTGAGTGGAAGACAGAGTGTGGGAAGTCTGGGATCCCCATCCACTCCTGAGCCCAGGAGGAGCCAGCCTGCATGCCTGGGCATGGCACCCATCTTCAGTCAGCGATGGCAGGTCTCGAAACTGTGCCCATCAGGCTCGCTCCAGCCTTGGAACCTTTGCTGCTGGATGTTCCCTCCATAACGGTTTTTTGAGATATTACAATGGATGTTACGTTTCCTTGTCGGCCGTAGTTCACCTTCACCTTCTCCTCCTGGACCGCACGCACCCTTTGCTGCAAATTGCTGCCTGCAAACGGAAGGGGTGCAGTGAAGTCAGCACCGGTTCTGCCTTAACTCAGCATCACCAGTCGCCACCATTCCTAGCGGTTGGGGCAGGACAGGGCAGGGTGGGGTGGAAGTCCTGAGGACCTGGCCTTGTAGACCTGCAGGTGCTTCTGCAGAAAAAGTCCCTGCCCAGCAAGCTACTCTCGCCGAATTTGAGAAAAAAATAAATGGAGCATGGAATTACAGAACCTTAGAACTACACAATTTAAATGAAGCGATCAACCTTTTTGTCTCAGAGTTAAACCAAATACCACATATGGCCAATGAAGGTTCAAAATGACATTCATCCATGTGTAAGGATATACAACTTTAATTCTACAAATACAGGATTCTTTTCTTACTGTAATTCTGCTTTCCACAGTGGCTTCAGACTGTGACCTTCGTCATTATCTTTGCTTTCTGAGGCATTTCTGACTGCCACCGAAATGAGGAAGTCAGCCATTACTGCAGCCAAGGTCATTATCATAAAGCCTATGGATTCCATAAATGGAGCTTCTGGTCCCTGAGCTGCTGGTCACAGTGGAGGCAGCTTTTACTTGTGGGTAATGACACACGTGTGTCT